CTTCACGATCTAACGGTGGGAAACGCTTGTCCGCGATGAGTTCTTGCTCGGTGGAGGACATGCATGCTTGGGCCCACTGGTACACTTCATCTCCGGGGGGTCTTCTGGAGTCGACCGATGGCCATCAAAACTTGATTGACGAAACCTCTAGCCTGACCAGCGTTCTCCGGAGGGGATGGTAGTACAAGATCCTTGAGATCCTTGACGCGGACAACGGACTCCTCGTATGCGGCGTGATCTACGGCGGTCATGCTTGCACTGGGATCGGCAGCCTGAGACGGGTCTGCATTGGGGAACTGGCCAGAGCCTCCCCCGCCTCCCCCGCCTCCCCCACCACCATTCATGGTGAGGTATGGGCAATCCGTGTCTGCATGGCTACCGCCGCAAACTCGACATTGTGGGGTATCATCATCTCCATCGGAGTCTGATGATGAGTCGGAGCTAGCGGCCGATGGCGCTTGTGGGGATGACGAGTACAACCCTCCCAACATTGTGATTGGTACTGGCGGAACACGAGTGCCGTTGCCAGCTTTTGGCGGAGGCGGCGCCCCTGCGAGGGGCGTGGGAGGCGCTGGAGGTGGTGCGGCCGGAGGCGGAGGTGGCGGAGCCACTTGATTAGCAACCAATTGGGAAAGCTGCTGAACCATTTCCGCTAACGCCGTCACTTGCACTCTCACATCGGCTTGATCCCTTGTACCGTCTCTACCCAACCCGCTAGTCCTCGACGCGCCGGGGGCTGCGTCTCCAACAGAGGACGCTGCTCCTAGCACTGCCGAATGGCCTGCGAGATGTTGACTTGTTGCACCCCCACCAGGGTCCCTTGAATCAGCTGGGGCATCGTGACCAAGTCCTGAACTTTGAACAGAACCACACGGAGGGTCGGGGATAGTACTTGTAAAAGCATTCCCTTGCGACGATGCGGCAACACCGGAGGCATCTTGTGAATCTGAAACCTGAGGTGCTCCAACCGGCTGATGGGTTCCTGGGGGAACTGTGCCCTGACTTGAGGCTTTAGCCGCGCTTGTTTCCGTAGCTGTTTCGGCTATTGATGCGGCTTTTGGCGGGGACTCTTGAATCGGAACAGGGGTCGCACGAGCTTGTTGGGTGAGGTGCGCAACAACACGTTCGAGATCACCAAGTCGTTGATGCATCACAGAATTTTCCTGGGACAATCCACGAATGGTATGCTCTTGACTGGCAATGGTTTGTTCTCTTTGTGAGATTGCCTGTTGAGCCTCTTGAACAATGCGTTGAACCTCTTGCTGAGCGTCCTGTTGAGTGGCATTAACAACCTGTCGTGCGTTCTCGACATGGCCAATGGCTTCCTGTCGTGTCTGCTCGATTAGTTGCCTAGCCTGAGCCTCACTTTGTTGTGCTGTTTGTACAGCCTGCTGTGCTTGCGAAGCTAGCTGAGCGGCCTGAACCCTAACGTCTGATACTTCTCTTACAGCCCTTTCCCTGATCCATCCGGCCTCTTGTCTCGCCTGGTCGGCGGCCTGCTGTTGGTGCAAGGCGTGATTGGCTGCCTGAGCAGCGAGGTCGGATGCTCGATGAGCTTGCTGCACCGCAGCTCCAGCTATAAATGCCGCAGCGGGTACGTTAGTCATCGGGTCAGGTAATTGCGATCCCTGTGAAGGAAACTGAATGGCTGGGGAAGCTTCGGATGATGTAGGTTCTGACACGATCGGACCACTCGGGGGTGATGATGGTCGTGTTTGGGCTGCTCGTTGAGGTGTGGATGTGCGAACTGTGGACATAGCTGCAGGAACCATGGCTAGGTCAGGGTCATCCGGTTCAGAATCCCTATTTGGGGTTGACCTTGAACGGGGTTCTGATGGCGGTGATAAGCCCGTTGAAGCCATGACACAGCGATGCAATTTTGCACTCACACGAAGCTAGCTCCACGCGCTTTGAGCAGCGTGTCAAAAGGTGCTACGAGGAGATATCCCTGGATTGGCAGCTGGTTGCGAAACGCTCAAGTGAGCCACTCAAGAAAATACGCCCTGCTGCTTTGCACCTGATGAATTCTGTATTTGTAATTGTACTTGTAGATTGATTGATCCGCACTGCCGCACTATGGTGCTTTATCGAGGGATGTTGCCAAGCTGTATTGAGAATTTGTCTGCAAATCGAATGCCTGTAGCTGCAAAGATGCTGTACCGCGCAAAGCGACGGTTTTAACGGCTTGCAAAGAAAGGCTATCGAAGTACCCGATTGGCGGGGAACTGGGATGCAGACCGATGGAGTTCTTCGAGGTACTGCGATGGATGCAGGCCCCTTGCCGCCGGAATGAAAAGTCGATTCCGGGACTCGATGTACTCCCCAAGGTTCTCAAGTGCGTTGGCAAATCCGCTCGGCCCGAAATGCGGGAAGTTGCGGAACGCTGCGATGCCTGTCTTTTGAGCTTCACGGACAATCGCAGCTGTATCGTCGATGAGGGCGTGGGCACCCAGCCCCTGAAGGGCGTCTGCTTTGCCTCCCCTACCCAACCTTTCGTGTACGATTTTTATCGCAGAGAAAGTGAGTCCAGATGTCGTCCGCGCGTGCTCCAGGGCGACCTGGAACTCGCGGCGGCGATACTCGCTTGCAGCCCTGCCCACGAAGGATAGCACTATAAAATTTATAGGTGCGTAGTCGGCTGCAAATTGAACGAGATGCCGGATCACCTCCGGGTTGAGGTGGGGTCCCTGCTGCCCAACGTCAAGAACTCCGTGCCAGTCAAGAGCGATGGTAAGCTCCTTGGGCGGCACAGGCCTTCCAGGCGGCGGGGGTGGCGCAGGTGGTGGCCTTCTTGGTGGCGATCGAAAGCGTGTGCCAGCCTCGGAAGTTGCAGCGCTAGCAGCAGCTGCTTTAACGACCTGCGGCGGTGGCGGCTTGACGATGTACCCTTGTGGCGGGTTTGAGCCCGATTTGCTTCTGGGTTCGGCTTTGTTCAAACCTCGCGGAGGCGCCTTGTACCCGAATGCACTCTGAGTCCGAATAGGAGACCTTGCTCGCGGCGGGGATTTCCTCGGAATATCTGCTTTTGCCGGTGCCGAAGAAGCTGCACGAGGAAGTTCCTTGGGCAATGGAGGCTTGCTGCCAAAAATGACCTTTGGTGCGGCCTTTGGTGGCGGCGGTTGAATTGCTCCAATCCTCCGGCTATGCAAAGCAATAGGCTCAGTGTGAGTCGGTGCCTCGTATACGCGCCGAGGCACGTAAGCTGACCTGCCAGTTCTGATGGATTCCGCGTCCTGCGGAGGTTCCTCTTCCGAGCTGTAGGCGTCGAGGCGATAGTGCTCCGCTGGCCCTGGGCGTCGATCTGGAGATCGTGATCGCGAGCTTGTGGATGATCTTCTTGGGGGATCTCTCCACGTCTCGTCCGCAAGCGAATACGGGTCAGCCTGACGGAGATGTCCGGATGTCCGCTGTGCTCGGCGGTGAGATGTCGCCTCACGTGGCTGTGAAGCCTCCCGAACGAGTACCCAAGTGCCGTGCTCGTCAAATCGTGTCACAGGGTATATACTGTTCTGTGGAGCCAATACAATGGGCCGTGTGGCAAGGGAAGTCCTGGATGGCCTGCCCTCCCGCGCAAGCGCGGGTTCAACACTGTGTGCCCGATGTTCCACAGGGGTAGCAGCAGTCGGTCCTCGTCTCGGAGGCGATGGAGACCTCGACCTTCGGGGCGATGGGGACCTCGATCTTTGTGGCGACCGTTCCCTGCTGCTCTCCTGTCTTGGCGGCGCCCCGCAACACTTGTCTTTCCTCTGCTGATGGTCGGATGCGAGGCAATGGAGCGCGCGAATCTTGTAGCCAGGATGAAGCTGAAGGAGGCGTCGGAGGGCGTAGCCAGTCCGCTGCACTGCTCGCTGCTTCCGCCGCGCCAGAGGCTGCGGCTTTATCCTGAGATTGCACACCTTGCGGCAAGACCACACCTGCGGTTTCAACCGATGCGAGACGCTGCTGATAAGCGTTGTCCGCGGCCTGGATCACTTCGAAGGCCTCTTGGTCAAAATCCCACAGGTGCCAACTA